TATAGAAAACCGAAAGTTACGCAATTCTACAGAAAGGGAATTGCAAACATGAGATCAGCAACATATGTAGATAGATACACACAAGAAAAAATGAATATTCCACTTGATGGTTCATCCTGTGACTACAACAATATTGTTCTCAATTCGCTCTTTTCAACAATCTTACATCAAAACGAATAATTCTTGCTTGTGAATGGAATAAACGATTAAACAAAACCAGAGAGCATATATACCGCCAAATTTTGCCTCTTCAGCAAATAATGTTCTTTGTCACCGCCGGTTGCTTGCTTCAAACTACAAATAAACAAATACCACATTGATTCTTTAAACTTTAAGCCTCCTTAAATCGCCTAAACTCGAACCATATCTCGTAGTGGTTGAAGAGCAAACTATCATGAATGTGCTTGCCACGGTACTCAAGCCCTAAACCATTCAGCCTTTTCGTGCACTCATCACCTCCCAAACGAGAACAGAACTTGATATTATGCGAGACAAAAATCCGACCTTCCAAAGGTTTCAGTCTACTTGCCAACCGCTCCAAGCCAGTCCAAACAAGTTTGTCGGGCATATGAAGAAAAACAGCACTGGCATATATCAAACTGTACATAGTACCATCAGGACCAAACTTGCTAAAATCCATATCTTCGCCTCTTACAATCAAAGGGCGTTTGTGCAATAAACCCTGAGAAGGAAGCTCATAGCGAAGCGCAGCCATCAGAGAAAGCTCGTCTCTCTCCAGGCAATGAAAATGCTCGGGGTTTAAGAACCGGATGAAATGCAGCCCGACACGAAGTGTCCCACATCCAATCTCGAGCACTTTCGAATCGGGTTTCAGTTTGGCCGACTCTGCGAGAAATTCGAACACGTCTCTTCCACCTGCCCAAGGCTCACCGTAATTGCTGTGGTGCTCTTCGACGAGTAGTTCGCCTGGGCAAGGAAGGGCGGTGTGGTTGTTTGCTTCTTGTTCTCCTTCGTAGTGCGATATGCCTTTGTAATGAATGAGGTCCTCGAGTTGCTGCTGACGTGTGCGGGGGTTTATGCCTTTACGTAGAATATTCTGTTGCATGTGCAATCCATTGGCTACAATTTGGCTCTTCACCCAATCTATATCCTCAGCTGAAGTAGAGACGCGCTCCGCATTTCGGTTAGCTAGAGTGGGGCAAGAGCAAGAAGGAGGGGAGGATGAAGAGGCAAAGAGCAAGAAGAATAGGAGGGTTGCGGCAGCAGATACTGAAAGAACAAGGACCGGAACTGAAATCACCACTCCCTTTGATGCAAACAATGCCATTATGCTTAGCTGGCAGATTTTCAGTACCTGAAATGAATCTTGTAGATGTTAATTTTCTATCTGAAATGGAGTCTACCTTTCTCAGAAAATTCACATCAATGATAAAATGACTGTTAAACCACAGACAGATTGATATAGGCAATTTCCCGCAATAACAGGGACCATATTATAAATAAATAAAATAACAAAAAGAAGAAGAAAACAGAGACCATATAACATCAATACATATGCAATAGCTCTTGAGCCAAGTATCTTAAAGTTTCAATGATTTTGGATGTCATGTCAACTAATTTGTGATTTGAGTTGCCAAAATTGAATCAAAAGGGATATAAAAACATAGCCAACTACTCCAATGCTCCGTATTAGGGATTATGGAGTCCATCGAAGAGGCTGAAGGAGATTATATATTGATCATGATGTAGCAAGAAATTAGCGTACAAAATGATACAATAATTCTTCGACGAACTACACATTTAGTTGTTACTTCAAACTGAACAAAAATTATCAAGTATCTATCAAGTTCATGAGAGTTATTTGACGCTAAATCAGATCTCACTGGTAACCAAATAATGCAAGTTTTACTCAATCAATCACATTTGTATTCATTTCTTATAAGATATATGAAACATACTCACTGTCAAACATGTATATGCAATACGCCTCAATTTTAACTAAATATCCAAGTCTTAGAAACCTATATCACGATTTTGTCTAACAATATCAGGCTATCTGCATCGAGAAAAAAATTAGGACGAAAATCAGAGAGAGAGAGAGAGAGAGAGAAGAATTACCTCAATTTCATCCAATCGATTGCAAATGTAACTGCAATGTGGCGAAGCAGAGGCGAAAAACTCCTAATTGCAATGTGAAGTCCTGATACGGAGCTCGAATTTCCAATTCAGCAGTTGATAACTGTCGGAAACATATCAAAAATCTCCAAGTTCAAAGTGCCCAACGGCAGCGTTGCGGTGCGAACGAGCGGGAAATAAATAAATAAATAAAATGAGAATTTCGTATGTTGGTTCGAAGCGGTAGTTGGGTGGCGGTGGCGGAGGTGGCTGGGATAAATTATTGTGGTTAAATCTAGGGATCTAATGAGAGGCGGTGGTGGATGAAGGTACAGAAAGCTTGTGGAGCTTGAAAGGAGAGTGAGAAAGGTCAGATCGAAAGAGGAGGAAAGGAAGCAAAATTAATCAGTCTGGTTTATATTTGTTCTTTACCCGAATTGCCCCTGATTTTCTTTTCAATCACGAATCTACCCCTAATCCACTACTGATTGCCCAATTTAGCCCCAATGTATGGGCTGTGCATTCTGGGTAACTATAATAAATCAAACGGTGTTAATTAATGTTTCAATTTATGGGTTTATATTTCTACGCAAAATCACATACACAAACCCAAACGTGTGTGTACTGATCAAAAAAAATAAAAAAAAAAAAAAACCCAAACGTGTGTACAAAATTGGTAATTATCTAAGTATGTGTATAATAAAATCTTAAACAGTGTAATTGACCAGAGTTTAGTATCTACAAGATCATTTAACTCATGGGTAAATTACGTTCACTTCCTGAAATAAGGTCAAATTACAAAAAAAAACCATTTATTTTTGGGTAATTACAAGTTTACAACCACCCCTCAAGTATTAATCTTCTTACACGTCCACCCTCACGATATCAAATTTAGTAGAATCTTCTAGATTATATGAAATATTCTCCGGTTTGTACATATAATCGTTTTTTTACTCACAACACTGAACATGAACCAATACGTTCGACTTTGAAAAAAAAAAAAAAGTAAAAAACACTATATCAACAGTTCATAATTCGGAATGGTTCACAATGGCTCGGTTCTGCGGGGTTTTGTTAGTAAGAAAACTTATTCATCCTACACAAATTACAACATTAACTTTCACAATTGCTCATTCCTTAACTATAAAACAGGAACGAATATGTATACATATAAACGGATCTGCAAGTACAAAATTAACTTTCGAACTGTTACGATTTACAGTATTGGTCAAATCTCACCCACATTTGCCGGTACAAAGTGAAATCAGTGGAAGACAAAGCTGGCATATTACCTTCCACATGACAGGTTTAAGAGGCACTTAATATACAGGGTTACATTTCTGTACAATTCATGCGCTCAACATTTGGCTAAAAAACATACCGCCTGCCAAAAAACAAAATACCCGGGATTTCATTAGCCGAATTTAAATATGGTTTTGCACTTTTACCCTGAAAATTAAGCAGTATGTAATATAAGAATTTGTACCTCAAGAGCTCTCATAATCTTGATCTTTGCTTCATCCCACTAAAAGTGGACCTCCTACGAATAGAACCGAACGGCTCTCCGTTTAAGGAGCCGGAGAATTTAATATCCCAACCTTCAATATTCTTCGGAATACACACATCAAATAGTGCTTGGCCAAGAACACTGTTTGCACTGAGACAAGGGCTAGAACGATGAGGTAGCCTCTCTTTGGGGTCATGTTGTTGTTGTATAGGCTCGAAATCTCTGCTATTTCGATAATCTGATGAACTTGGCAGGAAGAAGTGGTCATCATCTTGCCCAAATGAAACTCTTCTGAAGCTTTGGTTCGACTTTTCGCCGAGTTTCTGAATTTTTTCGGAGAAATTAGAAATTGCCTTCTCAAGCAACTCGTTTATAGCAGCTGTGTACTGTACATTTTGATGCTTGTAATGACCTGTTGCAAAGGCAGATAACGTGGGTAAGTTTGGAAACGGGATGTCCAAGTCATATACTGTAACAAACGATCAACGCAGTTGAAGATGTTTCATGTGACAAATCTCATTTTTATCCTTTTATATCTTCTATCTGACTAACCTGTATATAAATTAATACAGCAGAACAATATTTTTCTGAAGTGAATGGTAAAAGATCGAGGTTCTAAGAGGTCCATATTTTAAATAAATTTTCGTATTCTTTCATTGTAAGATAAATCTGTCCCGTTTTTTTATGTCTTACCACAACGAAATATAAGGAGAACTTAAGACTAACCTACATTAGCAGAGGTGCTCAACTTCACAACTTTTACATTACCACCCAAAACCTGTAACTGCTGAGCGAAGTTGCACAGAGTCGAAAATGGAGCTACATCATCATTTTCTGAGAATACAATCAGAAAGGGGGCCTCCAAACCCTACACATAGCATATGAAAAGGAATAAAAGGATCAATAAATAAAAGAGAGAGAAAATAGTTTAAATAAATGTTTAACTTACAACTGAGGAATAAAGTGTTTCCCAGTAATCTGCACGTTGGGATCCAAAACTGGTGATAAATAGAGCGTCCAAGCTTGAAGTAACACCTTTTGCAAACAATGATACTAGCTTTGATGATCCAGGCATTTTCAGAATGGATCGGTGTAAAGAAAATCGGGCACCCAAGTCGCTAGTGAATTCTATAGGATCGGAATCATATATCTGGCCTGAGATGCAGCTCACAACCAATCTACTGTCCTCCTTCATGTAACAAAAATAAAATTAAAAAATTAATCTGAGGTCTACTTATCCACCAATAACAATTACTTTATTTGAAGCCCAACAAAAGAAATTACCAGGCTGAGATCCACATCGGAACATCCTTCTACGATCTGCACCACACAGAAACGAACTAACTCCATCAACAAACCAGTCTAAGGTTCAATTGAAATAAATGCATGATGTTGCTAAAATGTGATTTTTAGACATGAAAAAAGTACCAACGCAAATCTAGTGATGCGTATACATGAATCAATCATTCTCGTTTCTCAGTAAATTGAAATTACCTGGAGAACCTTATACATGCACGCTTTAGAACCACCAGAAAAAGATGCAAGAACCACAGGACATGGTCCATTTCTAAGCTCCTATACATACAAAAGAACAAACACTCAGCAACAAAAAATAATAAAAAAAATCCAAGAGAATACCGATAAGCCAAATGTAACCAACACTAATCAGAACATGTAACAAACTTAATACGCATGATAAATTGTAATAAGTTCCACTGCGACCAGCGAAATACTTCTGCTGTGTCGTAATCAGGAAGCCAATAAAACAGATGTAGAAAATGATGATTTGCATTACTATACTCGCATTTTCTCAGGCAGCGCAATAGTTACAAAAACAGCACGAAGGGAAACAGAATCAAACATGAATTGATGATTAAAGCATGCAATATAACTTAATGTTCAATTTCGGCATTTTTTTCCAACATAAACAATGCAATACCAACTGACCTTAACAAGCTCAACAACGACAGAGAAAGCCAGTGATGTAGCTCTCTCCGGAACGAATCTGCACAAACAACAAACCAATTGTTCGTACGCATATTCAAATTAACAGAATCGGAGGCAGCTGAATGTCATTACAAAACTGGTGATTTTCGTATACAGTCACTACCTACATACACATATACATACACCTTCAAAATTCACAAACCAAAATCAACATCGAACTAACCGGAAAAACAACTACAGTAAATTAGAGGGAAAAATAACGTACGGATTGAGATAATCGGAGCGGCAAACGAGAGAGTTCCAACCATGAGAAGAGTAGAGACGAGCGAAATCATTCAACTGAAAATCGCTGATCGAAATCCACGAGAAAACAACGATTATTCCCTTCGGTTTGAATCCTTCTTCGCGATTCCGCAACCAGTAGAATCTCCCACCTCTACTACTCATCCTCGTATCGATATTTCAAAAAAAATTTGTATAAATTGGGGGGTTTTGTGCCTGGTTTATTGACCGTTGTGCGAGAATAGGAAAATGTAGAGAGAGAGAGAGAGAGAGAGAGAGAAATATGATTTGTGTTGTTTGGTGGTGGATCGCCGAGTGGGATTGCGTTATGTGACACGTCAGACAATGCGCATATTCCCTTCGGCTATCATGCGCCACATCCGGCGCGCGGTAGACTTCTACGACGTCGTATTCGGCCTCGGGCTAATGCATGTTAATTGTGATTGGGCTTTGGGTTTTAAGAAGATAGCCCAAATTAATGTATGAATAATTTGCTCTTGCCATGCTATTTTGCAGGCCCACTCTACTAATACTAATAATAACTAATTAATTAACTTTTTTAATATTATAAAATTTAAATGTAAAAAGGTCAAACTAACCTTCTAAAAGAGGGAAATCAGATCATAGATGAAAGTAAAAAGTGTACCCCACCCCACCCCACCCCACACCCCACCACCCAACCAATAAAAGTCTCATGTTATAATTTTTAATTAAATAAAAAAAAAATAGAATATAAAAGCTAAGTTGTGGGTGGAGGCGCAGAAATCAAAAAATCTAGAAGGGGAAAGAGAAAGCCGTGCAGAAATTCTTCTTAACTATGGGGAGTAACAAAGTTGCATCATCATAATCAGTAATCACAGATCCAATATATACTATACAAGTTAAATAAAGTAGGAAAAAAAAACAGTTATTTATTTATTCAAACAAAAATAAAAAAGTTACTAGTAGCTAGTGTGGGTGGTGGTGAAGGTGTTGAAATCAAGGACCAAAAAAAAAAAACCTTCCTTTATCACTCACTTTTAAACTACAAATTACTAGTAATTAATTAAGATTAAACCTGCAACATTCTCTTTCTAATTTCTCTCTTTCATTAATTGTGTTGGTAATAGCATTAGTAATAATAAAAATTAAAAAAAGTTATGCATCAGATCCAAAGCACATGGAACTCAGTTGACGACCACTCCATCACGGCACGTGCACATGCACACTTCTTGTCTACTTCTTGTTTATTACTATTACATTGCAAAGTGCAAACTAATTTACAACTTTCTTTTCTTTTTTTCTTTTTGATTAAGAAGGCATGGAAAATGATGAAGTAGTAGCATCAAATTTATAAATTGAAACTATTTCTAATTATTAATAATAAAAAATGTGTCAATTGCATACAAATGGAGTATATCTTCACACACATATCACAACTAAGAATGTTTTATTGGGAATATCTTTCATCTACTTGTTTATTACTAACTAGTAATCCCTTGGTGTATACAATGTAGCTAATTAGGATATTAGTTATGAGAATATTCCATTACAAAATGCGTATTAATTATTTAGGATATTTTTACTTTTATTTTATTTTTGTTTTTTAGAAATCCTATATATGCCAATGTAATAAATAATAGTACGTAGTTTTGTACTTGAGGAAGATGCACACTAGCTCGTATGTTAGTACCAAGTCCTTTAGTACTCAATATAATGTTGGCTTCTTCTCTTTGTTCATGTGTCGTTTTACCAATCATCATATTTCAACCAAGTTTCTCTGACAGGCCAGGCCGATGGATACATATTCATATATATTGCAACTTTTCATAATACTTACACTCACACTAATACAATTCATGCATATATCTTTTCTTCTTTCCTCAAATAACTGCATGCATATATATTACAAATTTTAAAATTAATTAGTTTCTTCTTCTTCCTTTTTAAGCCATCACCACATTTCATTAGGCATCTATATATATAATATTTATGGAGAGAGAGAGAGAGAGAGAGAGAGAGAGAGAGAGAGAGAGAGAGAGAGGGGCGGCTTTTTAATTGTTGTATTATATGGATTAAGAGAAGCTGCAGAAAACAGTAGTTTTGACCTGTCTGATCTATTGAATTGTTTCCAAACTCAAGGAATTATTAAATTATGAAAAGAAGACAAGGAATATTATGAAATATTATCCAAACACTACCTAGCTAACTACGAGTAGAAACAGATCATATATATGTACAGTTTTAATTTGGTGGAATAATAATAATTATTATTATTTCCGCCGATTTTGAGATCACAGATCTATTTAAAGAAATATAAATATTCGGCCGGTTTGGATACTTCTCTCTTTTCTTTTTTGTATTTCTTTCATCGTTTACCCATATTCCAACTGCACAAGACACACCTTTCAATCAATCAATTCACATGCCCCACTACTGTACACCACACAAACAAAACATGTATTTATTTATATATAATTATACACACACACACACACACACACACAACGTGTCTGCAAGTATTCATGATTAGCTTCCACCATGTGTGTGTGTTTCTTCATGACCATGTCCAACAACTCCATGCAACCATTAACCAAGACGCCTTTCATTTTTATATGTTGTATATATATATATTTATAATTAATTAATTAATTAATTTCATACAGAAAAAAAAAAAAAAAAAGGTGACATGCATCCAGTGGCGGATCCAGGATTTTTGCCAAGGGGGTTCGAAATTGTAGAATAAAAAATTTAAATATCACTTTATAAAAATAGTGGACTAAAAATTTACAATTTACAAATTTTGGGTGAATTGTGGAAATATTTAAAGAGAAAAAATGTGAAAATGTTAAAATTAGTGGACCAAAAATTTACAATTTAAAATTTTTGGGTGAATTGTGGAATATTTAAAGAGAAAAAAAATGTGAAAATGTTAAGATATGAAAAAGAAGTCATTTTTTTTAGAGTGGGGAATCGAACCCTTGACCTATTAGTGGAGTTAGAATATCTTTACCACCTCAACCAACAACCTTTGTTGTCAAATTATCTATAACAGTAATATTTGTCCAAACCCAAGGGTGTGCAACTGCACACCCTAGACCATAGGTGGATCCGCCCCTGCATGCATCCATGAAGAAAAAATCCAAAATATGCTCAAACAAAAATAGCCTTTTCAATATTTTCGAGAAAAAAGCAAAGTAACAAAAAGCAATTAAAAACCCACTTGCCCACGTCAATATCATCAACTCTGACAAAAGAGCTCAAGAAATTAATTATGACTATATATATATATATAAATATATAAATATGGAAATTAGAGAATTCTAGGAGCTTCTTTACATAAAAATATATAAGGAAATTGCTATACACATAAGAGGCAGATTAATTAGCTATAATGAGAAAAATGTTAAAATTGCAACAGGGTAATATAATATATAATTTAATTTTAAACTTAGCCCCACCTAAGAAAAAAAAAAGAAACTAAAAATTAAATTAAAGTGGGAATATATAAAGAAAAGAAAAGAAAAGAAAGATGCGTTTTTGCTTCAAGTGGAGATATATTCATTTAAGGCTGTAAACGAACCCACTGATACGTCCCCTCCAAAGGAACGTCGTTCACAATATCAAAGTTGTACCTGAAAGCGATACAATCAAATCATTACTTCAATTCCCCCCTTTTTCAGTTACGAATAATCAATTGGCCCACGCTAAAATGAGCAGGGTGCACTATTTCAGTGTGTGTGTGTGTGTGTGTGTGAGCCTGCGTACTTTTCTTATCGTACGCATCTCACTGCCTGGAAACACATGTAATCATTGTTTGTATATATATACACATATATATATATAGTGTGTCTGTGTGTGTATATGTGTACTGTACTGTACTCACTTTTCAGCGAATCGTTTCTGCTCGTACTTTTCTGCCGCCGCAAAGAACTCTTCTAGCTCCGCCGCCGCCGGCATATTTGCCGCGAGAGGAGTTGGAATTTTCCGGCGAGGAGGAGGCGTTGATGATTTGTTCTTTGACTGTGACGATGAGTAGGCTAACAGTTGCTCTGAATCTCCGTAAAAATCGCTGGTTGGAGTCGCCTCTCTACTGAAAAATTGAATACTACTAATTAATCAATTTTAAAAATTATTTTAGTTCGTGAATTAACAGTAAAACGTTAAAAATTGAACGAAATTCAGAAATTTAGTAAAGGAAAATTCGTTTAATTTTTAATTTTAGTTTTTCGCAATTTACCAGAAATTAAAACGAAAAAGTGAAATTATGAACGGAGAAATAAAAAAAAAATAATATATACAGCTGAAGATATATTCATTGCTGACCTGAAAACGCCATCGTTACAAGTGGAAATTTCCGTTTCAAAACCCTCGGAATGCAAATCAGCTTTCTGAAAAAAGCATTCAGAGAAGAACAGATTAAAAATAAAAAATAAATAAATAAACAGTTCCTCAAAAGACGAACCAGCTGAAATTGTGGTTTCACGAAACAAAAATTCAAAGCTACTGAGTTTGAATTTCGAAAATTTCACCTCCAGATCTGGTGATCTCAAACTCTTCTTTCCGGCGTCGCTCGAGTCTTCATGCTCAGAGAAATCGGAAGTCCTGGAACCCGCCGGCGACACTGAATTCTCCGACGGTTCCACGCCGCCGCCTCCGCCGCCGCAGTACGCCTTCTCTTGCTCGGGGTAAAACTTCCTTTTCTTACCGGAAATCAACCGCGCCTCTTCTTCCGTCGCTCTAGCACTCTTCATTGTCGCACTCTCACATATCTTCAGGTATTCCCCCATTCTCTCTCTCTCTCTCTATCTACCTACACACCTATTTTGCTACATCTGTATATAATATATACAAATATATAAATATAGGTGAAAATTGTGTGTGTGAAATCGGTGTATATATATGTGTGTGTGTGTGAGTGTGTGTGTGGGCTGGTGATCAACAGCAACCTGCAAAAAAGTAGAAAGCTCAATTTCTTTCTCACGCACCACTTTACCACTGATGCTATATTACTAGATTAGAGAAGAGAAAAGTAGGGGCAAAAACGGAAATCCGAAAATGATGGGGATTTGATCGGACGGTGGAGATTAAATGAGGCGGTTACCGTAACATGTGGTCCTGACCCTGTTAACGGTGACAGGCACATGGCGATGCCGTTAAGAGAGATCGGGATCCTATATAGAATGAGTACAGACTAACGAGCCAATAGGTGGAGGACGCGTGTAGGGAGTGCGACCGGGTGTAGCCGGTCGGGTTACCGGGAATCTTGTAATGACTGGGATTTTGTTACAGCCATAACTGAAAATCACTGCCAGAAATATTTCATGCGGTTGGTTATGTTCTTCAAAAAGTACCCAAAAAGTGATTTTGAATTTTGAATTTTGGTCGTCTAAAAAATATGTTATTTTTTGAATTATGTAGCTTTGATAATTAAATTTTAAAATGTTTTTATTTATAATTTTATAATGATTAAAAACAGAAATGTTTTCATATATTTTTAGAATAAAATTACGGACACCCACAGATGTTAGGTCAATTTACGAAAATACCCCTTATATTTGGGTAATTACAACCACCTGTCAGCTATAAAATTTCTTACATTCATTCCTATAGTATCAAATTCAACATAATCTTTTAGATACCGTGGAATGTTCTCTAATTTATACTCGTTTTGTACAAAATGCATTTTCAGATGCACCACAATCTGATATTTATAAGCCAAGAGACTTTCAAAATACCCAGCTCGAATGGGGTAAAACGGGTACAAACTGGGGAATATTCCATATAATAAAATATTCTGCTAAATTTGGCACCGTAAGAATGGACGTGCAAGAAAATTAATAGTTGACTAGAGTAATTATAATTACTCAAATATTATGGGGGTTTCGTAATTTAACTTTACTTTAGAGGTTCCCGTAATTTTACCTTATTTTTATGTAAATATAAATATAAAATATTGTTCGTAAATCGTTGAAATACAAATTACCATTATCTGAATCGTGTCTTACGTTTTAACAACTTTGCGTTATACACATAAAAATATTGCAATTAATACAGAGTAGCTGGAGTGGCTTAAAAACGCATTTTATGCATTAAATGGAGTAAATTTTTGGTTAATTGTTCGTCCATTTTAATATTTAATTTACTACTCTTTCCATGAAATAAATCGTTTTTAATTCAAAAATCTTTCTTTATTCTTTTCCTTTTATATTCTTCAATTTAATTAATATTATTAATTATTATTGGTGTTACTATTTGATATTTGTTCAGTTTGGTAGAGCTAACAAATTAAAAATATAATTTCAGCATTTAATTGAAATTCCTTATCCTGAAAAATACGTTACATCTCTTCATTAGGATCAATGAATGAAATATATACATTTAAATTGAAGCAATTCAAGATTTAGGAGGAATAAAATGAATAGTTTCTTTTAATAAGGCATGACTTTGATTATATTTTATTTTATTTTAAATAAATGCCCATTAACTAGTTGGTCGTGAAAAAAAGGACCCGGATCATCAATGTTAATTTCTTAGGAAATAAATATATAAATATGTAACTAAAAGGTTCTTCTCACTAATTTATCCCCCATTTGTTATTTTTATTGTTTGGGAATTAATATTTGAAATAATCTATTAAGGGCAAAATCGGAAAAATAGTGAATGAATTAATATTTGAAATAATCTATTAAGGGCAAAATCGGAAAAATAGTGAATGCATCATTGAAAATCTGAAATAAATACAAAATAATTTATCCAAAGCGATAGTTAATTTGAAACGTAGCTAGAAGAATATATATATTACACACACACATCTTCCTTTTATCAAATCATCACACTTAAAAAAAGAAAAAAAAAACCTAGGAGGAGAACGTTACAATGACAAGTCATTAATGTGATGTTAATTATATCACCAAAAATCCAATCTTTTTGTTGTATGAATAGAGAGAGAGAGAGAGAGAGAGAGAGAGAGAGAGAGAGAGAGAGAGAGAGAGAGAGAGAGAGAGAGAGAGAGAGAGAGAGAGAAGTAATTACAGCATCAACCACCACCATTACGGGGGTAGTGTTGGTAGATGAGTTTCATACATTATGCAATCAAGAAACCATGGTATTTAATAATTTACAAATTCGAAATGTGTCCTCAAGGTTTTTATTACAATCCAGGTGTGGTTGAAAGTAATTAACTGGAATATGTGTAGATAGATTGTAAATGATCATTTAAATTTTCAGGACCACATAATGTGTATATATATATGGTAGGAATTAAACAAGTTTCTCCAAAATGTTTGCTTTTATTGAACATTTACCAAGATTTTAATGATGTCAAAACAAATATGTAGGGTGGTGGTCACCATTATCATTTTTTTACCGATATCGTATTAATGATTTGTTAGGCATGTATTATAAATGTGGTCTTAAATTATTTTTTTCCAATGAAATTGTACTCCATATATACATACAAACGTACATACGTGCATGCGTGTGTTGGTGTGAGTGAGTGAGTGTGTGTTGGTGTGAGTGAATGAGTGTGTGTGTTTTGAATTTCATCCGTTGGAATAGCCAGAGCCAGATGTTAATAATTTAGTTTGAGTAAAGGATATTAATAAATCTTTGATCATTACATTCCAAATTTGTTTAGGCAACGTCGAAGAGTGTCATTGATTAAAGGTTAAATTACACCGACACCCAACCGACACCCCTGGAGTATGCTAACATAATGTTAAGATATTTGTGCTATTATTAATTACGGCAACACTCCTGAAACAATTAATCGGAGCCAAGATTTCATGTCATGGAAACCGATATACACTATAATTATTTTTCGCTGGGCCGTTAATGCTAACATAGACGGGAATTTATAAATCTTATGTTAAATAATAACGACTTGCAAAATGTTGGGAGAGTTATGCCACCCCATAGCTCTACGTTGTCTCCATCAGTATCTAAAACTAATAGTCCACTGGAACCTTAACGTAATAACTTAACCAATGCATTATTCCGTTAGGGTTTCTAACAATGTTTCAGGGGTAATTGTAGGAATGTGTATTTCCATGTGTAAATGAATGATAATGACATACATGGTGTAATTCACTCGACGTAGCACTAGCACCGAGCAACAATGCATGTTCTCGTTGGATTTTTCGATATTATCATACATAGACATGCACATGTAAATGACACGTGTTGTCTTACAAGAGGACACCTGTTTTACTGTTTGAAAGGATATTTGTTAAACAAATTTAACGATTAGTGGAGAGGGAGAAAATATATAAGAAACGCGGTTTTAAGAGAAGCAAACAAAATGAATCTGGAGAGTAGTGAGAGATGAGGTGGTACAAACATTGGATTCCTTTGGAAACAATTGGTAAAAGGGTGGAGAGAAAAAAAAAAGGTGGGCCCACAATTAGTATAAAACAATTCTGGCTCTAACTGGCAAGTGCCAACCTTTCTTTTCCCCCTAAAAACAAGGGGCTCTGTCCCTGTCAATATTACCATGAAAATAATAATAATAATAATAATAATAATAATAATAATAATTTAAATAAATAAAATAAAAAATGAAGCATAAGCAAAATTACAATGGCGGTGGTGGCAGGCCCTTTGGCAGTGTGCTCCCTGAGAGGATAATAACAAAACTAAACAAATACAAGCATTTCTTGTGGGAGCCTAACTGCTCTGCTACTCCATTTGCAGTAGTCTTTATTATGGGGGCCATCTTTTTAACTTATTTCAATTCCCCCTCGTGCACTTTTTTATACTTATTTTTTTCACTTTTTACCCTGGCCATTTTCTAACTCTTTTCACTGTTACAAAATTAACCCACTGCCAATACATGCATATTATATACATGTGTCAGTGTGTGTGTGTGTCTGTGTGAGTGTGTGTGTGTGTGTGGGAGAGAGAGAAACTGGATTTTAACATAATTAATTCAAGACAAAGGAATTTGGCTAGACTAGATTATTTACCTGGTAAGCAGAATCACATTCCAATGGCCGCCACCGGCCCACCAGCACGAGCTGTACCAGATGTAAAACGAAATCTGCGAGTCGACATAAGCTAAAAGGATTTCTAAAATTTTACAACCGAAACACACGATTACGTTATATCTAAAATATATATATGTCTATAAATGTGGGGAAGAGAAGAGGTACAAATACAATTCCGATATAACGCAGTGGGTATGAGTTGTGAAACCTAATAGACAAGTGCCACTGGAAGAAAGTGTTCTTAAAAGTTCAATAATGTGCGCACTTGTGACTTATCTGACTGTCCTATGATACCACATCGATTTGCTTCAACATTTTACGCCCAAATGACGGGAAAAAAAATTGGAATTTATTTTACCATCAGAATGAGAATAGTCATTCACGTCGTATGAGATAGAGATGTATTGGGGGGGTAAAGGTGCATTGCCTGATATTGAGTTTAGAATATCTTCAGAGTGCCTTTTTCACTTGAAAGAAATTGGGACGAGCCTCATTAGCAGCTTCAACATCATCTGGAGAGGCTACAGCAACCACCACACCTTTGTCTTTAACTGCCTCAACAACATCCGCAAATTCCTTGAAGTCTTCCAATCTACAGAAAAGCCACAAATTGAACAAATATTAAATAGAAGAAAATGAAGACAATTTTTACGGATATGGTATGAAATATCATGTTCGAGCACTGAAAAGTGGAACGAGTTCATAGATATACGGGGAAAGAGACTTCTTTATGTTTTACTCGGGAATGTATAATAGAAGCTATACATAACAGGAGCTTCAAGTTAGTTATCCGTTTTACTAGTCATTTGGTTTAGATGTTTTTAATACCAATATACGTATAAAAATACATTATTATCTGCTGAAGAATGTGTATAGATACCAGCCAACAAAATATGTCAGGAGCTTCAAATCAATAACAGCTCGACTAGTCATTTTCATTAGTCTATGATTCGCAGCCAAAATTTGATATGCATGACTGTCAAGAAAACTCAATTTCTCCTGTACTGAAATGAGCGTCTCTGAATTCATAATTTAGCACTAATTTTCACAAAATATTGCAATCAATCCAGATCTATATATTACATGTGTAGAGATATATAAGTACCTCGTTGACAAAATCTCCTCTCGTCTGACTTGCCTATCCTCCTCGGTGACTCCTAACAAGTATCTCGATAAGCTGAAAAGAGAAGTGAAAATATCAATAAATCTCCACAGCAAATGCAGTAATCTAAAAATAAATAAAAGTAAAGTAAACCACTAGATTAATAACGATCTCATTCATGTTGCACATCATATCATTCATGTCGCAACATGGACATAAAACGCATCAAAAGTAGGAAAAAATAGGAGTCTGCAAACTTGCTTCAATATTTTTGTAAATCGAAAGAAAATGTGTACGTTTGTTGAAGCATGTGTTAATTTGGTAGTTGTAAAGAAGCAAAAATTATCACAGGGCTTAATCCTGTCTTGACTGCTCTGTCATGTAGAGTAATTATTTAATTCAGGGCAAGCCTAGCAATATGCTTACCTGCTATATCCTTTGGCATCAGGTAGCTGATAGGAATCAACATCTCCAATAGTCCCAATGATTGCCTTAGTAAGAGCATCATTATCCATTTCAAGTTCTCTTAGAAAGTTGCTCGTTCCATCATAAATATCAAGTGTCTTCAACAAATTGGGATCTCTGTAAGACAAGAATGAGAACACACCTGAAAAAAACCCCAAAAAAAAATCATGGTTAGGAAAGTGAGAAATTGGCAAATGTGACTATGTAAAAGAGAACTGGTGCTTTCAATTGGACCTGAGTGAGTGTCAAAATCACAAAATCCTCCATAAGCTCCACCACTGACGCGTACACGATCCCACAGCCAGCTGTTGTTCAAGTATTTCGAGATGACATATGCACTGCCTTTAAGTTGATACCCAGTCTCAAAAAGGTTAGCTGCTTTCCCAACATAATTTACCTGTGTAAAGATATTACTTGATTATGTTAATTCAATTTGCCTAACAGAGGAGTTAGACATACAAGTTAATAGGTCAACATTCGATTACTACTAACCTGCGTAGGTACTACAATAGCTTCATTTGTGAGCGGGAGTCGAGCATTCCAAGAAGGTGACGCGACTGGTGAAGTGTTAGGAAGCATATCAAGAAACTTGCTGACATATTTCTCTGTGTTCTTAAGATTTTTCCCGTCAGCAGTCAGATTTATAATGCAATCATTTTTCGAAATCAATGTATTTCGTATCTCCTCGAGAGAAGAAGATATTCCAAGCCAGTCATCATCAACTTTCTTCTCAAGATCTTGTAGAAATTCCAGGTAACTGCAAGCACAACGTGTGACCAGTATTTAGAGGGCCATAAGGAACTTATGTATTATGAACCGTGTGTATGATAGTGAAAAGTGGCGACAACTACAAGCAAAGGTCAGCGCACCCTATACAGGAGGAGTTTACAAAGACTACAAAATCGAAGAAAATTATCAAGATTCAGTAAATAAACAGCCCTAGCTTATTCGTATAAATAGTGCCTTTTATCATAATCTATAAATGAAAAGGCTTTCCAAATTCCAGAAACTGCAAAATTATAAATTAAGAAATAGCCTCTGAAAAAGTTTACCTGATACCGCCCATTTGTTCAGAGATCCACCCAGCAACATTGAGCTTTGCATCCATCCTTGCAGCTGCAATGCCATGCCCACTGCCTCTTAATCGATTCTGAAAACCAAGAATTAGTATGAAATAATTATAAATTAAAAACAAAAAAAACATATCAGTCTCAATTCTGCCAGGTACAGTAGATACCTCCATTCTTGCTTTGCTTTGAGAAACGAACTGCTTAAAACGCTTTTGGTCCGTCAACTGAACATCTTGAAGAACACGGTTGAACTACATTTGATAAGTTTGACAAAGGAGTTAATCAATCTCCAACAGTTTCCAAGAAAATTAGATAGAAACAAAGGAATAGATGGTAACACGCTTATAGAAGGCCGAGCCATGATTAGCATAGGATGTAAATAGATAAGCTGATTGGCCCCCCTTTAGCAAAAGTTGTAATATATCGAGAATTGCATGCTTAACAATGACATGACTCTGAAGAAGTATATTATGTAATGTGCACCCAACGAGGTATAACAAACTGACTATGGCTTAGACTAGTGGTATCGGAGGACAAGAGATTAATGACACAGTAATTATAACAATGAGATTGGGAAACCAAATCACAGATGTGAATTGTTAACCTGTGGTTGTGCATTCAAAATATTTATCACATTGGGGAAAGGAATAAGGAAATAAAAACACAGTAGCAGTGAGTCCAGGTTACATACAAACAATTTATCAGTTGTCATGAGATATGTTAGAAACCCTGCAACGACTTGACAAGTGACAATGGTGAGCGTGCTTAATTTTAATGCTAATTAAATTACTAAGAAGGATCAGCTTTTTTACCAAATTAAATAAATCTTCAGCACGCCCGGACATAGATTTGCCTCGTGCAATTATATGGCTGCATGGATCCTCCTTCCCTCGTACTGATGATGTGAAAGGATACACTGATATTCCACCAGTTTTTCTTCCAATTAATTGGTTCAGTTGTACAAAATCCAAGTCTTTAGTACCCATCTCCAGCAGTGACTGGCTGTTAAATATCCACAAATCATAAATAATTGAACTTTTGACGATGACCGGTCAATGACCCAGGTTAGCTCAAATTTGCAACTCATCTTGCTAATTTTTTAACTTTCAAACCGAACCAAGTATGAGTGGAAGGTAGTGAAAAGTTGACTTCAATTCATGCCACGTGTGATGAGGATAGGATTGATTAAACTTATAATTTGTTTTCACCAAGAAATTAAAAAAGAAAGAGTGCCCAGTAATAAACGATACTATACATAACACAACAAAAAATGACTCAAAAACCAAAAACATCTTAATCTCGTACTTTGATTAAGTACGAATAAGACATAATTTCATCTACCTTGTCTTTTTTCATAAATTTTTTTGTAATTTTAATTTATTAAGTTTATCATAGAAGAACAGAAAAAATAAAATGAATTTGAACTAACTCAAACTCGACTGGAATCTCTAAATATGTTCAAGTCAAGCTATCCATATAACATGAATACGGAATTCTCCCAATTCAAAAAGAGAGTTCTAGAGTAGTTGCTGTCTTACCAGAATAATGGTACCAAAGGAAGAAGCTCTTGCTTCAAAGAGCTCATTTTGAATACAACTTCGGCATATAGAACATCATTTGTGAAAAGGTCATGCTGCAACACCTTTGTCCCATTGATCTCACCAACCTACAAGTGCGAGCAATGAACTTTGACCCACAAGAGAAATAAAAATATTACAGGAGTCTTTACACCATTGTCATCAGCTCAATACCTCAGTAGGAATGTGTATAGGATTTTTGGGAATGTCTTGCAAAGAAAGGCTTGGCACACATTTGAGAGCTTCTGGTGGATCTGGAGTCTCCTGTTTCAACTTCAGTTCATGTGTTGCACGAGCCAGTTCAGCAAGATCCTCCACGGTCAAGCTAGCTTTCAGCTTTTCCAAATTTTCTTTCTCAGTTGCCTCGTCACGCGAAGCCATCTCTGAATCAGGCTGTTAATAACATCAATTAGCATATGAAAAAGCCATGCCATATTGCACCTAACAAACATCAACAGTAAAAACATTACCTGCATTTCAATAGTTACACGGTGCTGGTTATTCAAAATGAATTTTTCTATTAAGGGAGCGAATACTGCTTTAGAGCCTTCCTCGGCTATTCTAGCTTTCAATTCCTTTAAAGGTCCTTGATACTTTAATGGCTCAAATGGATCCATATCATATATCCATTTCCCCTGTCAGACAAAAAGATATTATGAGAATATTTTAGACTTGCAAAAGGAAGAGTAGAGGAAAGACAAACTTGATGAAGATATTTAAAAGAAAGCATTTCTCACCATGGAGCGAAGCATCAGAGCTAAACCACGCGGAAATGACCCAGTATTATTTTCTCTGAGAGAGAACTCAATTGTATTCATTGATGCTTCCACTGCATCGGAATTGAAGCCTTCCTCGGCCATCTTTTTAAGCGTAGTCATGATTAACTCTTCTACTTTTTGAATGTCATCATCTGATACACCTTTTAATCCAACACCAAACTGAGGCTGAAGGAGTTCGTCCTCAATGCCCCCGCCAACAATAGCTTCCCCTAGACCACTCTCCAGCAGGATTTTTCTCAAAGGAGAAGCAGGAGTTCCCATCATTAAATGATCCAAAAATCCCAGTGCCAGCTCAGTTTCCAAGTCTAAAGGTGTTTCAGAGAGGAGCCAATTGAGGCACACCATGTGCTTCTTTTTCAAGTCCACCCCTTCAGCAGCGGGATATTTCTCAACAATCCTAACTGGTTTTGAGAACAGTTTCTGATAATCAACTCTTGATTCCTCGGGAGCTGAATTTGCTTCAAACATGTCTAGATATTCTGTAAGAAAAAAATGGAAAAATACAAACAAAACTCTGAGTTTTAATTAAAGGACACCATGCATGGTTTCGTCAGATGAAAACTGTCTAGCGACCAATATCCTACAGATGAAAGCGTAATTTCTTCAACATAAGTCCATTTATGTAAATATATCGGAGTCGCAACATATGTCCTACAAATGAATACGTAATTTTTTCAATAAATGTCCATTTATGTATGTCCAAGTCACTAATACTTCTTTCATCTGTTTGAATTTCATTGGTAAAAATAAATCAACAATTACAACAGATTAGAAGATTTTGTACCACTTAAAATACGTAGCCTTTCATTTGCATCATCATCACCATAAAACCATATCCTGGAATTGCTGGGATGGTAATATTTGCGGTGGAACTCCTGTAATTGGACACGAAAAGAACAAAATCACTCTCTAAGGATATGGGCAAGATATCAAGTCCTTTTTCATACATCTACACTAGTCAATGAACATGAAAGTAGAAGACAAACAAGACACTGAAAAGGAATACTTGAAATGTAAACATTGTTAGCTAAAATGACGAGGAAACCAACCTTGAACTCCTCAAATGTTAGTTTGGGAATAACTTGCGGATCACCGCCACTATCAACACCATAAGTATTGTCGGGAGAAAGGGCCTACAGAGAAGTATTATAACAATTATAACCAACATAGTTCATTTTCCTAGTACTCTGCATGAGCTGAATCATGGAGTCCAAATAATTCTTAACTTATATTTAGTTTGAATCAAGCTTACCTGTTGGGAAGCTCGGCCTAGTATGCTATCGGGCTGAGAATAAACACCTTTCATCTCATTAAAAACAACACCTGGAGTAAACCACACGAACAAATATCAGTGATGTAATGACCCTTGTATGAATTGTTAAGAAATATGGAAATTGGCACATTCACCGGGAGTAAAATGCCATAGAATATATCAACCTTTATATGTTATGTCCTCCGAGGGGTCATTCAGTTCGTAATGCCAACCTTCTTGTTGAAATGTTTTAATGTCTTCCACACATTTAGGGAAAAAGACTGCATCTAAGTACACATCAACCAAGTTATAGAAATCCTGCAAAGAATTAGACATATGATACTTAACACAAGATTGTAGAGAGAAATATTTGTGTCTTTTTAATATGATCGAAGGACCAGACCTTTGTGTTCGTGGAAGCAACGGGATAGCAAGTCCTATCAGGATATGTGAAAGCATTCAGAAATGTATGTAAGCTCCCTTTCAACAACTCAACAAACGGTTCTTTCAAAGGATACTTTCTCGAACCACACAACACACTGTGTTCCAAGATGTGAGGAATTCCTGTTGAATCTTTTCTGCATCAACAAATCGACATATTTGAACTTGATTAAGTTGCTTGTTCAGAATAAATCAGAAAACAGAAACATATTTTGGTGAGAACAAGTAACTTAGACTCTTTAATAAAGTCACTTTCTTGATAATAATTGCATTTACTGAATCAGAATTTCTCTCACGCAACACGAGAGGGAGATTAGTTCTAAGAGTATCCAACCATCAGAGATTCAAACACAGCAAGTTTCTGCATTAAAAGTACTTCAAGCACGTGAATAAGGAGTTACGCCAGGTGGAAACCTCTATTGACCACCACAACCAGGATCATTGAGTTCGTACAACTGAAGCTGACTAACTGGACTAGATATACAGTTTTCCAGGGATCTACCAAATGTTTGCAAAACTCCACCTCTCTATTCGCAGTTTCACACTTGACTATTCGTTTTTCAACTAGAGCAAAGTTTTGCTTGATAGTCTATAATGTTAGGTTTCTTTTCCCCCTTCATCTTCATAGTACCATTCTAAATATTAGCAACGCACTGAATCATGCAGTTTAAGTAACGACTCTCATGAATTAGAACCTTGTGTTCATCATGGAAACACCGCGACTTCTTAGAAAAATCGTAATACAAATTATTAAAGCATTTTCTAATTGAACAAAAAAATCAATCCGCAGTATAATTTACATGGAAGTAATAATAATAAATTAATAATTGATTATCAGTAGAAACACTTACGGAGGAGTGCGGAGAACAATGCCGAATACTTTATTCTCGTCGTCGTTAGACACCGACATAATTTCAGCGCCAGTTTTCTTGTGCTTATACAACACAGCTCTAGATTTACACTCCTCGATAAACTCCTCCGACACTTTCTCAAACCCAAGCTTCTCCGCAACGTCATCGTCCGCTCCCAAAACCTCTAAAAAAAATTAAAAAAAAAATCAATCAAAAAAAACATTAAAATCAGTTAAATAGTTCGAAACTTAACATAAAACTTGTTCAATTACCAGAAGAAGGCTGCGCAGACGAGGTGGCGACTGCGCGCACGGATATAGGGTTGAAGTGTCTTCTCAGCTGGACAGAAGGACGGGAAACAGACGAATATAGGCCGACGCCGCCGAGGTGTCGGCGGAGGATTGAGCGCTGGTGTACGTTGGGCACCAAACGATGGCGTTTAGGGATGTGAGCGAGGCGGTGGGCGGAGCGGGAGAATAATCTGGTGGAGGCGAGTGCGGAGGAAGAAGAGGAGGAGGAGAGGGAGCGGAGGAGCGCCGCTCGCTCCATTGTTGCTCGGAGGAAAGTAAAAATGGCGGAGGGTTTGAAGAAGATGAGAGCTGATAGAAGTAAATGGAAACTGATAATAGGTATATAATAATATTATCTACTCTGAGTTTTGTGATTAGGGAAGAAAGGGGAAAAATAAATATCAATAACTTGTGGTGCTTTTCTTGGGGAATAAGAATTAAAATATTTAGTTTCTTATGTAAATTTTAGTTGCTTGATTTCTATAATTTAAGGAAATTGCGTGCAATTTTTTTTATGGTCATGAGTGAAACGTTTTGCAAGCTTCTCTACCTCTAAATTTATTTTTGCACTTTAGTTCAATTTCTATTTAATTTTAATATATTTTCCATTATAAATACTTGATGCTCTTCTTAATTCTTGAACCACTCTATTTTGCACTTGAAAATAAATATATAATACTATATGTTTTCTTTAATGGAAATATCGACTTAATTAATTAATATAATGTAGAAAAACAAATTGCTAGAAGATAAGGTCCCTTAAATAAATAAATTATAAATATAATGTAGAAAACCCGATCGGAATCATTAATGGGAGAATGAACTCTCTAATGCTAACGATTTTTAGAGTCCATGTACACTCGCAAACGGCAGTAATAAGTAGTCGATCATTTTTTTACATGATCAAACAGAAAATTAGAGTCATATATCATATCATATTTAGTCAAACATTTCATAAACTCCGAAGCTCCCCGTTCCAAAACTTGTCCCGCTAAATCAATGAATTAGATCAAATTTGCACTTATCATATTATTTTGCTTGCTTGAGCTGCCCGACCCATTGATATTCCGCTCAAATAATGCGACGAACATTGCATTTGTTGCATCCGGGAAAAAAACTCGGACTCAACAATATCAACATATTCATTTTTGTTTCACAATAACTTCTAGCCATTTAATTGAACACTGGTCAACTAAATCAAACATAAAACTGCTTAGTGAAGCCCGTTATTCAACCACAAAATCAATCAAGCATTTGTATCATTCATCGTTTCATATAATATCTATTTTATTAGGATAGATATATAAGGTATTTGAAAAAACTAAAATTGATTTTTGCCACAAATATTAGTACATTACAACTTCTAATTTTTTTTTTTTAAATTAAAATTTTCAAAATATTTGCAAGACACTAATAAAATTATATTACTTTTACTTACAATCACCACTTTCTACAAAAAATAAAAAATTAAAAAAATTCAATAGATATATTGGACTCAAAACCCAATATTTCAGCCCAATAAGCATAAATAAGATCCGACCCATTAAAACAAAAACCCATAAAGGAGCAGATTAGTAAGAGTGCCCAGTAGCGGTTAGCCAGTTGGTGCACAGTAGTTACTTCCCACAAGGAACCGCTATACGACGCCGTCACGAAGCCCTCGATAATACCAAAAACTCTCAGCACGCTGATGATCGAGCTTCTCTCTCGCGGTGGAAGATTGGAGAAAGAGAGAGAGAGAAACAATCTGCGATTATGAACGAAGTCATGGTTCTTCTTCTCCCCAGGTTTAATCATCTCTGTACTAGAAAGAAAAAAAAATTGTTTTCAATTGGAATTCAATGCAGATAAAATTCGATTTCGTTTCGAATTACAGTTGGTTGCAATTTTTGTCTGTAGCATTTTGTTGAAATTTTAAGCATTGGATGGTGGATTTGTAGTGTAAAGTAGAAATACGCGTGTTCTCTTCTCTGTTTGTGGCATTGAAATAGTAATGGTGTTTGATCTTACAATATCGCTTAGTTATCTAATTTATTTATTTATTATTTTCTGGAGAGAGAATTAGACTTCATTCGATTTCGTATTTAGCCGATTACTGTGTGTGAAAATGGTTACACTATGCTGTTCGGACCATCTTGAATTGATTTTTCGTAAAGAGGTTGTGGAAACATTTAATTTCGACTTGCTCTTGTGAGGTATGAATTACGATGAGATATGAATTCCTTGAAAACGCGTTCTAACTTGGTATTGCTTGATTCATGATTAAGAAGGTTTTAGAAATTCTTCTACTTCATCCACATGAACTGAAATTATGTCCGACTTATTAGACACATGGACAAGTATTTGTAGGTCGCTTGCAGTCTTAAGGTAGTCGTTTTGCATATTCGGTACTCCAAATAAAAAAGTTTTTTTTATTATGATGAAGCCTACCCTTGATTAATCATTTAATTAATTAAATTCAATAATGCGCTTCTTGGTTGTATGATTTCCATTTTCATCTTGGCATTTTCTTTGTACTCTGTTTATTCAATGCTTTGAATCCATATAATCTCTATGCTGCTGCAGTGGGGATCAATCATTAAACAGTGAGTTACTAGTGTAAAGACATAAGTAGGCCGAAACATAATAGGAAATGTATTCGTTGAGGGGCTAGAAATATAGTTTCCCACGTAAGGTAGGAGGTGCTTTCTGTTATCAATATGTGTTTTCTTACATCTGTTTCTATCTGGTCTTATAGTAATGAAATTACAATTAGCACAACCGCTGATCCTGACGGTTGTCTGAACGTGAATTCCTCTGCCCTGGACCAAGCAAAAGGGATTCAAGCAAATTCGTTTGAACAGTTCCCTAGTTTTTTGAAACAGTTGCTTAAATCGCATCTGTCTGGAAAATTTTATTTGGTAAGTTGAAGTTTTGTCCTCTATTAATATATAAACGATATTTATGCGTCAAACTATGGAGAATTATTCTTTTGTAACAGGGTTTACCAAAGAAATTTTGTGATGCACATTTGCCAAGCCATGATGGAAGTATTATATTGGTTGACGAAAACGATCAAGAATACAATACAAAGTACTCTGTTCGAAAGAATAGACTGAGTGGTGGTTGGAGGGGTTTCTCCATTGAACACAAATTGCTAGAGGGAGACGCCTTAGTATTCCATCTGATTGAGCCTTGCAAGTTTAGGGTAACTCTTCAAGCCTCGTATTTACATGCATATTTTGATCTTTATCTAGTTAAATGTGGTTGTTGATTTAAACGGAAGAGGCAGTTCAATGGTGTGGATATGTTGAGTGATTTTACATTCCGATGAACATTGTTGATTGAAGTAACGTTCATGCATGTTAAGCATCGTAAATAATGGAAAACAGCTGGATTATGACCTAGACAGTTAACGGTTATGGGTTATTGGTGTCTGAATGTGTACTAGATTCAATCAAGTTATATTCTGGTTCATTTTGTATAATATTTAGTTGCAATGCGTAACTTAATATACATGACCATGTAATAGTTGACAAGTCCAGTGTCGGATTAATGCATTTCTCGTAAACTCATAATGCATGTGCCTTTACCACTTTTATCTTTATTCTTGTCCTTATATATTGAACATGATTAGGGATTTGTAACGTTTGATAACTACATCTTGATCTTTGCTTTCTTAAGGTATACATTGTGAGAGCAGGCAAAATAACAGAAAACGAAGGGGCAATCGGCCTTCAGACTTATGATTTTCAGAACATTAAGCCAATTAGTGCCGGTAAGATAGCTCACGTGTCATTATTTTTTTCTTACCTTTTTAATTCTATGTTCGCAACATTGTTCAAGAAACATGGTGTAAAAACGTTTGACCAGTGAAAATGGAAGATCAAATGGAAGAAAATGCCTGTACTGGAAAAACAGCAAGGCAGGTGTACCTAAACTCTCTTGAAGTAGTAGATAGCCATCACGAAACAAAAAAGGCAAGATTAACACCCGACAGTGAAATTCACATGCATCACTCTGCCAATAGCATCGATCAATTTAAAGATATAAGTGGTTTTGAGAATTTCAAGATCCAATCGGGTGGCCTAATTCTCGACTCGGAGATACCTAAAAATATCAGAGCAAAATATTACAACCTCTGCTGCAGTCAAAGAATGTTTCTGCACGACCACCTTATAAATGGCCTCAGCACAAAGTTAGCCGTTGTAATGATTTCCGAAACTACCAATATATCCGAGGCTGTGAGATCTGCTGACGTGTCGACTTCTCTTCATCATTTGGAATGCTGGGAAAAGACTTTGAAAGCTTTCGAGGATTTAGGAATGGCCGTTGGATTTATACGCAATAGGCTGCATAAATTACTGGAAATTTCGCGCGAAGCACAATCGAATAACGAGTCGAAGATGACAGTGAAAACGCAAGCTGATCATGTGAGCGGTAATCTTGAGACTTCTTCTTTGAATGTCGAAGCACTTATAGGAAGTCTAGAGGCCGAAATCGAGTCTCTCAGATGGAAAAACGAGAAGCTCGGATTTGAATTCCGTGAGCTTGCTCGAGCTCCGTGGTAGAAAAGAATGTTACATTATGCAAAAGCGGATACAGATAACCTTGATTTACGAGCATAACTCGCGTTTTTTAGTGGTTTATTATTATTATTATTGTTATTATTATTATTATTATTATTATTATTACTTTTTTGGGTAGAAGTTTATTTAAAACAGCTAATGTACAGAAGAACTGTAGAGTAATTTTTTATTTATTTTTAATATATATAACTTGTCGAAAATAATGTATTGATGTTATATGTTTATTTATATGTAATGTAGGAAATTGAACTTCAGAGGTTGTCTTAAGTTGGCCTGAATCATGATGTATTTGAAAAGGCCAAGTGTGTGGTGTCATTAAATTGGGGGAAATTACTGTTTTCATCCCTCAAATTTGCACCAATTTCATATTTGGTCCCCCATGTCCACAAAAAACATATTTGGTCTCTCATGTTTCAATAATTTATCATTTTTTGTAATTTCTGTCAATTTACCGTTAGTCCGTCAGTTAAGGAGGTGATGCACAACCTTGATTCCATGAGTACTAACGCTAAAATTACTGAAATGACGAAAATGTTGAATTTTTGAAACATGAGGGACCATATGTGAAGTCGGTGCAAATTTAAGGGATGAAAACTATATTTTTTGCTATTAAATTGTGAATTGTTTTCTACAAAACGATATATCTTTATTTTTAGGGGGCTTAAGATATAAGTCCCTAGTGACAAAACTTATTAGAACTAAATGACAAGCTTAACTAAACATTTGCTACACATCCTTTATAAATTTCGTTACAAAAATACCCCTCAATACACAAATTCGAATTTTGTATTAAGTAAAATTCATTTTTTTTTGATGAAATATTAAGTAAAATTCAATTGCATTTATCATCTTTTTAGTTTGCATCTAATATTTTCATTTTTTTCTTTACAACAAACACGTGTTTTTTTCCTTTCATCTTTTAACATTTCTTACACTATTTGTAAAACAAATAATTTTGTTTTTCTATATAATATTGAAAGTTAAAAAAAAATATGTTTTTCATTTTTTTAATTTAATTTACGTATTTTTTTATATTTTTTAAATTTTATCTGCTGTTAATACTGTAGTAGACTATGATATACTATGATGTACTATGATATACTGGTGTACTATGATATACTAGTATACTATGATATACTACAGCGTACTATGGTTTACTACGGCGTACTATTCCAAACCCTAGCAGCAAAACAAGCTCTCACCCCGTCGCCAAACCCTAGCAGCCAACAACTTGCAGCCGCTGCCAACTCATATCGACAAAACCCTAGCCGTCAACAAAAATCCTAACGCGTTATAAACCCTAGATTAATGCAACCACCTTCCACCATCGATCTAATCTCAACCACCGTCTCCACCATAACAATCACCTCTGTAAACACGACCACCACCGTCATTGCCACCTCCGTTGCCCCCTTCTACGCCCACCCCCTATGCCGCATCACCGCCGAGGTCTCCTAGAACCTCAAAATTTTCAGATCTTCGTATCTCCCCTTCAGCCTTCTCTACTCCTCCGTGGCAGATCTGGATTCGGTCCTCAAATTTCGACGGCACCAAAATCCTCAGATTGCAAATATATGAGAGGAGTCGAGAAAGAGTTGAAACCCAGATCTCCACATCTCCCTCTTCAGCATTCTCTACTCCTCCGTGGCAGATCTGGTTGGGTTCTCAAATTTCGACGGCACCGAAATCTTTAGTTTGCAAAAATATGAGAAAAGTAGAGAAAGGATTGAAACGGTTCAAAAGACGAGACACACGATTGCGGTGGGGTGGCTGGGAAAAAAGAAGAGGGGAGAGTGATTAATGAGAGAAAAACCTAATTTATTATTATTTATATTAAGGGTATTTTCGGGTTAAACAAAAATAAAAGGGTATTGGTCAAATTTTATTTTGAATTAAGGATTTAGTTAATATATTTCATTTGAGGTTGTCATCCACTTCAAATTAGATTTATGTTGAGGGACTCTTAACATATTAACCCTTATTTTTAATTTGTATTATTGAATTTATTGTGAAGAACTTGTTAGATAGCATCAAATGGAAGCATATATAAACACCAATATTGCAATTACTCAAATTTTTAATGTTATAAACATATGAACTCTGTATATATATTGGACCGAGTATATGATTCAACCATTGTATTTAATGTGAATGATCAAAATTCAAACTTTATTATATGACCTATTCTAATATGATTTAAAAAAAAACAATAGAATACAAAAATGACCTTGGGTTACCCTAGGGTTGCGGATAGAAGAAAATAATTATTTAAATACATGAAAATAAAAACTATAATATTGACTTTCATTATCGACCGATACAAACGTACACGTTTTTTTTAAAAAGTAATGGAAATTTTTTTTACAAGAATAATATTATGTACAACCTTTGTTAGCAAGATGGAAAAATATAATATCCACATTTTCAATTTGGATTTCAAAAAAATATATAATATCGTCGCATTTATTACATTCGACGAGTCAACGGCTCTCACGTTATTTCAGGACTATTCACTTTAATTCACCTTCCGTCACTCACCTAACGTCATTAAATAATTGTTTATCTCGATGTACCTAAAGCACGCGAAAAAGCAGCGTCCTGAGCTGTCAAATTATAAGTTATAACTATTTTCTAATACGTAATGAAGTCTAACATATTCTCATTTCGCCCCACTTTCACCAAAAATAATCCTCGGAGACCAACTTTCGTCTACCATCTAAGCTTTATTTTAACTATATCAACATATCTAAAGAAAAAAAATTACAAATATCGTAACACAAGAATTATTTAAATACATGAAAATAAAAACTATAATATTGACTTTCATTATCGACCGATACAAACGTCACACGGATTTTTTCAAAAGTAATAGAAAAAAAATTTACAAGAATAATATTATGTACAACCTTTGTTAGCAAGATGGAAAAATATAGTTTCGACATTTTCAATTTGAATTTAAAAAAAAATATATAATATCGTCGCATTTATTACATTCGACGAGTCAACGACTCTCACGTTATTTCAGGACTATTCACTTTAATTCACCTTCCGTCACTCACCTAACGCCATTAAATAATTGTTTATCTCGATTTACTTAAAGCACACGAAAAAACAGCGTCCTGAGCTATCAAATTATAACTATTTTCTAATACGTAACGAAGTCTAACATATTCTCATTTCGCCCCCACTTTCACCAAAAATAATCATCGGAGACCAACTTTCGTCTACCATCTAGGCTTTATTTTAAGTATATCAACATATCTAGAGAAAAAAAATTACAAATATCGTAACACAAGAATTATTTAAATACATGAAAATAAAAACTATAATATTGACTCTCATTATCGACCGATACAAACGTCACATGGATTTTTCAAAATAATAGAAAAAAATTACAAGAATAATATTATGTATAACATTTGTTAGCAAGATGGGAAAATATAATTTCCACATTTTCAATTTGAATTTCAAAAAAATATATAATATCGTCGCATTTATTATATTCGACGAGTCAACGGCTCTCACGTTATTTGAGGACTATTCACTTTAATTCACCTTCCGTCACTCACCTAACGCCATTAAATAATTGTTTATCTCGATGCACCTAAAGCACGCGAAAAAGCAGCGTCCTGAGCTGTCAAATTACCACTATTTTCTAATACGTAACGAAGTCTAGCATATTCTCATTTCGCCCCCACTTTCACCAAAAATAATCCTTGGAGACCAACTATCGTCTACCATCTAGAATTTATTTTAAATATATCAACATATCTAACAAAAAAATACTACAAATATCGTAACACAAGAATTACGAAAATATGAACCAATTATCAAAATTAAAGACAAAAGATCTTACAAAATAATGAATTACAATAACACAAACCTAAAAGTAACAAGCAAATTCAGAAAATCATATTTAAACTTTATAATTACTAAAAGAAAAATACTTATACAAAAAGAGCCATGTCACATAAAATAAACGGTTCCAAATGAAATAATACAAAACTACGAGTACCATTTCACAATAAAACAGAATCCCGAGGGCACATAAAAAAAAATTATTTTCTCGGACAAAATGCTATTTAAATAGGGGGGGTGGCACCCCCATAATATAATATTTCGCAGTAAAAAACTTTTAGAGCAACGCTATATTTCCTCTGTAAAACTCTCTCTCTCTACGGCCCCGCGTTTGGCTGTCTTTTGTGTACTAATAATCTAGCTGCCTTTCTCTCTCTCTCTCTCTCTTCTTTCTCTCTCTAAAACAACATATTAATAAAAAAAGAATAATGTATGCGCAAGGTAATGTCAGTAAAAAACTTTTGCTAACGATAGCGAAGGAAATAGAAGAAACAAGAAGAACAAGTACTGTAATGAAAACCAACGACGAAGAAAAACTCAAAGGAAAATTACATGAGACCCAGTACTGTACTTCTGATTCTGATTCTGATTTTTGTCCTGAAGACCCCACAACTTCTTCATCCCAGGTTTTTTTTTTTTTAATCTTTTAATTAGCTTTTATTATTTTATTTTAATTTATTTGTTGTCTGTGTGGGTTCTTTGACTAAAACATTTTATGATTTTTTTTTATTATAATTATTTTTTGGTGTTCAGGAAAGGAACAAGAGAAAGAGGAAGGAGAGGACTAAAATGCAATTTGAAAGCACAAGCATGGGTGTTTCTGCAAAGTCTGAAAGACTCAAATCTGACAAAGAAGTGAGAATTTATTTATTTATTATTTTTATTTATTTTTGTGATTTTTTTGGTGTTTGGATCCATTAGTGTTCTTGATTTTGTTATATGTGCAAGTTTGAATTGATGCATGTCAAGTTTTTGTGCTTAATTGTGTTGTACAAGTTGTTTTTTTGTCAATAGATTTGGCATTAGAGGGCAATTTTTCATGTGGGTTTCTTTCGATTTGCGATAAGATCTAGATTTAAAGCCGTTTCGTTTCGTTTTGTCGAGGGCGGCGGGTTTTTTTAATAAAAAAATCAATGTTTCCGTAATTCGGAATTTCTTGAAACCCTAAAAGCGTTATTGAGATTGAAAAAGATGCCGGATTTTTTTAATTGTAATTTATGATGCGGCATTCGTCGTGGATTTGATTAATTCGTGTTGAAACCCTAAAAGCGTTATCGAGATTGAAAAGATGCCGATTTTTTTTTTAATTTTAATTTATGATGCGGCGTTGGTCGTGAATTTGATTAATTTGTGTTGAAACCCTAAAAGCGTTGTTGAAATTCAAAAGATGCCGGATCTTTTTAATTTTAATTTATGATGCGGCGTTGGTCGTGGATTTGATTAATTCGTATTGAAACCCTGAAAGCGTTGTCGAGATTGAAAAGATGCTGTTTTTTTTTAATTGTAATTTATGATGCGGCGTTGGTCGTGGATTTGCTTAATTCGTATTGAAACCCTAAAAGCGTTTTCGAAATTGAAAAGATGCCGACTTTTTCAATTGTAATTTATGATGCTCTTGGATTTGGTTAATTCGTATTTGTCAACGCATGGGGCACGATTTTCATTAGCATTCTTGCATTATTTGCGCAATATATTTTTCACTGAATTTTAGTGCAATTGACTGAAATAATCTAAAGATAATTTGCCGTAAAATAGAAATCGACATAGTGCATAATGTTCATTTTCTTCCATTTTGTATCATCTCATTGAGTTTGGTTTGCACAGCTGGTGAACTCCTTAATCACCCCCCGCCCCCCACTTGCACCCCCGGTTTTTTACGAACACGAATGAGTCCTAAAACATATATATATATATATATATATATATATATATATATATATATATATATATATATATATATATATATATATATATATATATATATATATATATATATATATATATATATATATATATATATATATATATATATATATATATATATATATATATATATATATATATATATATATATATATATATATATATATATATATATATATATTTATATATATATATATATATATATATATATATATATATATATATATATGTATATATATATAATATATATATATATATATATATATATATTTCGTTGCTTGTGCATTTTGTTTGGAAATCATGCCCTTGTGATGAGTTGATAAATGATGATAGTATAATGAAATAATCAAGAATTACTTGCACTAAACTTCCCCCCCACCCCCACCCAACCCGCCCCACATTTTTTTCTTGTTAAATTCCCGAACAGGTGTGCTCGGATAACTCCAAGAAACCACAAAGGTAAAAAAATCTCTTTTTTTTTTTTGTTTACGGAGAAAAGAAAAAAAAAGAATCTATTTATTTGAAAAAAATTGTGACTGTGAAATTTACGTGCAACATGAAGTGAGCGTAAACGAACTCGTGATTGTGACATATACGAGGACGAAGAAGCTAAGCGCTCCGTCATGCAACGAGCAGCTGAATTGCTAGCTCGTTTGGCAAAGGAGTATAACCTTCCCTCCTTCGTTAAGTGTATGCTCCCATCAAATGTTTCCCAAGGGTTTTGGCTGGTATGCTTTACCTGAATGATATCCTCGTTTATTTTTTATTAATTTTACTTTTTTTATTAATGGGCAAGTGGTTGTTATGGCAGCATCTACCGAAGAAATTCTGCACGGTTAATCTGCCGAATGAAGATACGCCGGTTGTACTTGTGGATGAATTAGGGAGGGAGCACACAACGTCGTATCTCTTGGGGAGGAATGGATTGAGTGCCGGATGGAGGGCTTTCTCTATGAAACACAAATTACTTAAAGGAGATTTACTCATTTTCCTTTTGACCGAGCCTTGCAAATTTAAGGTTATTCATTTTTTTTTATTTTTATTTTTTAATTTTTAATTTTTTTATATCGCAGTTTAATCTATAACGTTAATGATTTTGAACCAATTTATTATTTTTTCAAGTAGTTAAATTGCTTTCGGTATTTTTTATAAGCATAATAATTACTTTATTGTGTGTTATAGGTGCACATTGTGAGAGTAAATGACATAGAAGTCTTATTTGCTGCACTTTGCCTCATGGATTTGCGTTTTTCTTGTGAAGGGAATGATTCCGGTTGGTTTTTTTCTCATTGTGCACATTTTTTTATTTTAATTTTTTTTTCCGATTTTTCATTATTTACATTTTCAAGATTAAAATTTCTCTCTTTTCTATATGTATAAAACTGTATTTTTTTTTATAATATTATTATTTGAATGAAGATTCGGAGAAGAAAGATAAGCGGAAGCGAAGGAGAAGAAATTACGTGGACCCTGCTCTGTTCGAAATGCTTATGCCTTCGGAGAAGGTCGAAGAAAGAGACGTACCAAAGTCTTCGAGTAGTAATAGTGATGGTTTTAGCTCCGAAGTGATTGAAGGTTATCGGAGATTTAGAATTATTTCGAGAATTAATGAATTTTCTTTTAATCCCTGAAAATTGTTTAATTGACTTTGGGAATTGTGTTTGCAGGCTCCGAAAGTACGGACTAACGAGCTGAAAAACAGAGGAACACATTCTTGTGGGGTGTTTCGTGTATGTAGGAGAAAATGTGAAGAGCTTCTTTTCTTTCGCGGGGGGTAAGAGATGTAAGTAGTCTCGACGAATCGGGGCAAAAGGTGATATATTAGAGTTTACATCTTGAAAGTTTTTTAGGGTTTCGACATATGAATATACACCGGCGTTGAACATCGAAAGGTAGAACGAAAGTGAATCGGTATTCTTTTTCCTTTCATAGTAAAGTTGTTTATTTTGAAGGAACAAATGTAAGAGTCTTAGTTGTAGTGTTTAAAGGTTTACATGATAAGTTTTACATGTTTTTTTTTTGTAATGCAAATTAAGAAGTTACATCTTTTGTCTCATTTTTAGCTTTCATGGTTCGAGCCTTGTGCACATGACTTCCCTAGTAGTTCGAATTCTGTGCACATGATCCCCACTTGTAGTTTGAACTTTGTGCACATGACCCCCCGTAATTTGAATTTTGTGCACATGAACCCCCCTTGTAGTGCGAACTTTGTGCACATGACCCCCTGTAATTTGAACTTTGTGCACACGACTCTCCCTTTTAGTTTGAATTTTGTGCACACGACTCCTCTTGTGATTTGAACTTTGTGCACATGACTCCCCCTTGTATTTCACTTGGTATAATGCTGTATTGAAAATATAAGAGGATCATATGCACAAATTTAAAAACTGCAGGGGGGTAAGTGCTATTTAACCTTTTTCTTTTTCTTTTCTTGGAATAATCTAATAACGATCTCAATTATATACTTTTCAAGTTTCAATGATCAATGATACTAGTGTAAAGACATAAGTAATATTCATTGAGGGGCTATAAATATAGTTTCCCACCTGAGGTAGGCAGGTGGTGCTTTCTGTTATCAATATGTGTTTTCTTACATCGGTTTTTATCTGGTCTTATAGTAATGAAATTACAATTAGCACAACCGCTGATCCCGACGGTTGTCTGAATGTGAATTCCTCTGCCCTGGACCAAGCAAAAGGGATTCAAGCGAATTCGTTTGAACAGTTCCCTAGTTTTTTGAAACAGTTGCTTAAATCGCATCTGTCTGGAAAATTTTATTTGGTAAGTTGAAGTTTTGTTCTCTATAGACATATAAACGTTATTTAATGCGTCAAACTATGGAGAATTATTCTTTTGTGACAGGGTTTACCAAAGAAATTTTGTGATGCACATTTGCCAAACCATGATGGAAGTATTATATTGGTTGACGAAAACGATCAAGAATACAATACAAAGTACTCTGTTCGAAAAAATAGACTGAGTGGTGGTTGGAGGGGTTTCTCCATTGAACACAAATTGCTAGAGGGCGACGCGTTTAGTATTCCATCTGATCGAGCCTTGCAAGTTTAGGGTAACTCTTCAAGCCTCGTTTTTGCATGCATATTTTTATCTTTATCTAGTTAAATGTGGGTGTTCATGCATATTAAGCATCGTAAATGATGGAAACAGCTGGATTATGACCTAGACAGTTAAAGGTTATGGGTTATTGGTGTCTGAATGTGTACTAGATTCAATCAAGTTATATTCTGGTTCATTTCGTATAATATTAGTTGCAATTCGTAACTGAATATACATGACCACGTAACTTTTAGAATTCCTTTTTGTGTGTAATAGTTGACAAGTCCAGTGTCGGATTAATGCGTTTGTCATAAACTCATAATGCATGTGCCTTTACCACTTTATCTTATTCTCGTCCTAATTTACAGAACACGATTAGGGTCTTTGACAGCTTAATCTTTGCTTTTTTTAAGGTATACATTGTGAGAGCAGGCAAAATAACAGAAAACGAAGGGGCAATCGGCCTTCAGACTTATGATTTTCAGAACATTAAGCCAATTAGTGCCGGTAAGATAACTCACGTGTCATTTTTTTTTTTTTCTTACCTTTGTAATTCTATAATTGCAACATTGGTCAAGAAACATAGTGTAAAAATGTTTGACCAGTGAAAATGGAAGACCAAATGGAAGAAAATGCATGTACTGGGAAAACAGCAAGGCAGGTGTACCTAAACTCTCTTGAAGTAGTAGATAGCCATCACGAAGCAAAAAAGGCAAGATTAACACCCGACAGTGAAATTCACATGCATCACTCAGTCACTCTGCCAATAGCATCGATCAGTTTAAAGATATAAGTGGTTTTGAGGATTTCAAGATCCAATTGGGTGGCCTAATTCTCGACTCGGAGATGCCTAAAAATATCATAGCAAAATATTACAACCTCTGCTGCAGTCAAAGAATGTTTCTGCACGACCACCTTATAAATGGTCTCAGCACCAAGTTAGCCGTTGTAATGATTTCCGAAACTACCAATATATCCGAGGCTGTGAGATCTGCTGACGTGTCGACTTCTCTTCATCATTTGGAATGCTGGGAGAAGACTTTGAAAGCTTTCGAGGATTTAGGAATGGCCGTTGGATTTATACGCAATAGGCTGCATAAATTACTGGAAATTTTGCGCGAAGCACAATCGAATAACGAGTCGAAGATGACAATGAGAGCGCAAGCTGATCACGTGAGCGGTAATCTTGAGACTACTTTGAATGTCGAAGCACTTATAGGAAGTCTAGAGGCCGAAATCGAGACTCTCAGATGGAAAAACGAGAAGTTCGAGTTTGAATTCCGTGAGCTTGCTCGAGCTCCATGGTAGAAAAGAATGTTACATTATGCAAAAGCGGATACAGATAACCTTGATTTACGAGCATAACTCGTGTTTTTTTAGTGGTGGTTTATTATTATTATTATTATTATTACTTTTTTGGGTAGAAGTTTATTTAAAACAGCTAATGTACAGAAGAACTGTAGAGTAATTTTTTATTTATTTTTAGGGTCTTTCTAGGGTGAGACCATATGTGTTCTAAATTTATATGAGATATGCATTAATCATCATTACTTTTCTAAGATTAAATCTGGACCCTAGTAAAATAACATGGCTTGTGTTCTAAAAAATGAAGTACTTTACCAAATTATCCTTCGATTATTTTTTTTATTAAATTAATATAAAATTGATTAACATTGAATTGTCTAATTTAGACCCTACTATATTTTAATTAAATAATTAATTTAAATTTATTGTGACCGAGTTTTATTTGATAAATAATCGAAAAATGCATCCATTAGGAATAGAACTTGTGACCTCCTAATACATTCACCACTCCTAACCATCCAAGCACATTAACTTATTATGATATATTTAACCATAATTGTATAGATACTGTTAATTCAAATATTAATTGCAACATTCATTATTGTTAAATGATATTAAATAAATTATTAAAAAATTTAATAAAATAAAATTTGAAAAATATAAAGAATTGCAGTTCAATACGCCAAACATATATCATTAATTATATAATATTAGAAGTATTAATAAACTCCACCATTTAGAAATGTAAAGAATGCTCAAATAACTTAATTCAAACTCACTTATGTTATTTAATCGATAGTGTGACAAATCCAAATAAAAAATAAAATAATATGTTTATTTAGAAGAAGAAAAAATTATAACTCATTCCAATTAGTAGTTTTCTTACTTTAAAATAAAATTATATACTACAAATACTATATTGTGAATTTTCTTTTAATATTTAATTTAATCAACTAGTAAGATTTGAATCGATGAAGTACAAATCCTTTCAATTAGTAAACATTATTCAAATATTTGAATCGGTTGCTTAACTATTGACATAACATGTTACATAATTGATTTAACTATTTATAAGTAATGTCTAATATCTTTTTAATTCAATTTTGTCATAAAAAATAAAAAATTTAATTCCTAACACATGTAAGAACCTAATCGTAAATCATAATATTTTATCAAAGCGTAATATTTGAACCAATTAAGCTCAAGTCCTTTCAATTCGTAAACATTATTCAAATATTTGAATCGATTCATTAGCGCGCTCAACTATTGACAAGAACGTCTTAATCAAATTAACTATTATTAATTAAAGTGTAACACATTTTTAATTCAATTTTTTCATAAAACAATAATTCCTATATTACGCAAGAATCAAATCATAAGATTAATTAAAGCGTTTGATTTGAATCAATTAAGCGCAAATCCTTTTAATTTGTAAATATTATTCAAAAATTTGAATCGATTAAGTTCAACCACTGACAAGAACGTATTAATCGAGTTAACTATTTATAATTAAAGTCTACTATCCTTTTAATTCAATTTTAACAACAAAATAATAATTTAATTCGTAAAATCGCAAGAATCAGATCGTAAATCGTAAGATTTAATCTTACGATTTTTACGAATTAAATTTTATTATTTTATCCATAAAAAAAGGTTACTAAACTTTAACTATACACATATTGATTAGGTTACTAAACTTTAACTATACACATATTGATTAATACGCCATTGTAAATTATTGAGTTTAACCGATTCAAATATTTGAATATTGTCTGCGAATTGAAATGAGTTGAGCTTAATCGATCAAATCTTTGAATATTGTTTTTGAATTGAAAACACATGAGTTTAATTGATTCAAATATTACGATTTAATCAAATCTTACAATATACGATTCAATTTAAACTTCAAATTCTTTCGAAATTCATTTTTAAATTACACGAGTTGAACATCATTTCCTTAGATTTTAAAATTATATTATATAAAGATTTATTAGTATGGAATATTTTTAATATATAATAATAATTATATGAGAATTAATAATTTATTTAACATTATTTATATAAGTTTTATAACCATTATAAATTGTAGCTTTATGATATATATCCGTATTGTTAGTTTATTGTCAATTATGTGTTGTGTCTTAATGGTAAGTATTCTTGTATGTTTTCAGATGATCACAAGTTTGAATCCAGGTTGATGCAATTTTAGATAAGTGGTTTAATGATTTTTACGAATAATGATATAATTGACTTTATAAATTTTAATTCAGCAATAAATATATATTTAAAATTGCATTAAAATAGAGAGGGTAAAATTGACATTTCATTAATAATTTATAATTGCTGATTTTTTTAAAATAATAATTATAAAAAGGGTATTTGCGACAATACATAAATGAGGAAAAAATAGGTTTTTTTGTTGGGACACGTGTCGCAATTTGAAGGGGTATCTCATAAAAGTTTAAAACCTAGGATGCATAATTAGAATTTAGAACACATAATCTTATGGTAGAAACACCCTTATTTTTAATATAAATAACTTGTCGAAAATAATGTATTGATGTTATATGCAATGTTATCAGAACCGGACCGGACATTAAACCGGCGAGGTATTCGGGTCATGGTTGGACCGGTTCAACCGGGGTCAACCCGGGTTTTTTACTTTTTTATATATTCTATTTATTTTTTAATTTTATATACACATAATTACATCCAAATAAAAATTTAAAACATTAAACAACATATGAAAACTTCACTTCAATCCAAAAAATTATCCATAATAATAATAATGTATCTCATCAAAATCATCCTCATCACATAATTAAAATTTAAAATATAAAATGGTGAAAAAACTACAAGTGTAAATAGAAATTTTAAATTCACATCTAAACAAATTTTGTTTGAAGAATTGAAATCTAAACAAAATTATTATCACATGATTAAACAAAAGAATTTAAAAATTGCACGATTCATCTACATGAAAGAGGGTACCGGCAGGTTGCGGGGGCGGCGGTGGCTGGTGGTTTGCGGCGGTGGCTGGCGGCTGGAGGATTGGGAGGCCGTGGCTGGGAGCGGGAATAGTGAAGGCGAAGATGTACAGACTTGTCAAACAAGTCTGTTGAGTGTTGACGTTTAACGTGTTTTTTAATTCAATTTTTTTTTTTTTTTAAACCTAATAATCAAAACGACGTCGTTTTGATAAAGTATTAAAAAAAAAAAATATAAAACGCAGCGTTTAGGAATCGAACCCGGGTCAGCAGCCGGTTCGCCGGGTCCTGGGTTCCACCCGGTCAGACCAGATTTCTAGTAGTTGACCCCAGTTTTGAGTTTATGTGGGTTTGGGGGTTAGACCGGACCGGTTTTCCGGCGGGTCGCGGTCGAACCGGCCGGTCCGGTCCGGTTCTGATAACATTGGTTATATGTTTATTTATATGTAATGTAGGAAATTGAACTTCAGAGGTTGTCTTAAGTTGGCCTGAATCATGATGTATTTGAAAGGGTGGTGATATACGCAGGCCAAATTAAACATTCAGGCACTTTTTTACCATGATTTTTTACCTTTTTACCATAACTATTTACCTTTTGTACTATTCCTACCCAATTAAAAAAAAAAAAAAAAAAAAATTAAATTTTTGTGCTCGTGCAAAAACACACGAGCATTTCAACAGTGCTCATCTGATTTCACACGAGCACTGTTGAAATGCTCGCATGTTTTTGCACGAGCATCTTATAAATCAAAAAAAAAAAAAAAAAAAACTAATAATAATCTGCTCGTGTAAAAACACACGAGCGGTTGCAAACTGCTCGTGTGATTTCACACGAGCACTTTGCAACCACTCGTGTGTTTTTACACGAGCAATTAAAAAAAATAAAAAAAAATAATAAAAATGCCTGCTCGTGTGGATTTACACGAGCACAGTGGATGCGCTCGTGTAAATTCACACGAGCAGGCCAACGTGTGATTTTTTTCGTTTTTTTTTTCCGGATTCGTAATCTACATAACAAGAGGATCGTAAAAACGTAAAAATTACCTCCGATCTGTTGACGATTTGCACGGGCTTTGCGAAAGAAAATCGAAAGGTTGAGAGAGTTTTGAGTTTTTTTACTTTTTGTTTTTTGAAAAATGATAAAAAATGTGCCTGAATGTTTAATTTTGGCCTGCACAAATCATTTCAGTATTTGAAAAGGCCAAGTGTGTGGTGTCATTAAATTGGGGAAAATTACTGTTTTCATCCCTCAAATTTGCATCAATTTCATATTTGGTCTCATGTCCATAAAAAACACATTTGGTCTCTCATGTTTCAATAATTTATCAATTTTTGTAATTTCTGTCAATTTACCGTTAGTCCGTCAGTTAAGGAGGTGATGCACAGCCTTGATTCCATGAGTACTAACGCTAAAATGACTGAAATGACGAAAATGTTGAATTTTTGAAACATGAGGGACCAAATGTGAAGTCGGTGCAAATTTAAGGGATGAAAACTATATTTTTTGCTATTAAATTGTAAATTGTTTTCTACAAAAAGATATATCTTTATTTTTAATTTTTATTATTCAATTTATTGTGAAGAACTTGTTAGATAGCATCAAATGGAAGCATATATAAACACCAATATTGCAATTACTCAAATTTTTCATGTTATAAACATATGAACTCTGTATATATATTGGACCGAGTATATGATTCAACCATTGTATTTAATGTGAATGATCAAAATTCAAACTTTATTATATGACCTATTCTAATATGATTTTTAAAAAACAATAGAATCCAAAAATGACCTTCGGTTACCCTATGGTTGCGGATAGAAGAAAATAATTATTTAAATACATGAAAATAAAAACTATAATATTGACTTTCATTATTGACCGATACAAACGTCACACGTTTTTTTCAAAAAGTAATGGAAAAAGAATTTACAAGAATAATATTATGTACAACCTTTGTTAGCAAGATGGAAAAATATAATTTCCACATTTTCAATTTGGGTTTCAAAAAAATATATAATATCGTCGCATTTATTACATTCGACGAGTTAACGGCTCTCACATTATTTCAGGACTATTCACTTTAATTCATCTTCCGTCGCTCACCTAACGCCATTAAATAATTGTTTATGTCGATGTACCTAAAGCACGCGAAAAAGCAGCGTCCTGAACTGTCAAATTATAACTATTTTCTAATACGTAATGAAGTCTAACATATTCTAATTTCGCCCCACTTTCACAAAAAATAATCCTCGGAGACCAACTTTCGTCTACCATCTAGGCTTTATTTTAACTATATCAACATATCTAGAGAAAAAAATTTACAAATATCGTAACACAAGAATTATTTAAATACATGAAAATAAAAAACTATAATATTGACTTTCATTATCGACCGATACAAACGTCACACGGATTTTTCAAAAGTAATAGAAAAAAAAAATTACAAGAATAATATTATGTACAACCTTTGTTAGCAAGATGGAAAAATATAGTTTCGACATTTTCAATTTGAATTTCAAAAAAATATATAATATCGTCGCATTTATTACATTCGACGAGTCAAAGACTCTCACGTTATTTCAGGACTATTCACTTTAATTCACCTTCCGTCACTCACCTAACGCCATTAAATAATTGTTTATCTTGATGTACCTAAAGCACGCGAAAAAACAACGTCCTGAGCTGTCAAATTTCCACTATTTTCTAATACGTAACGAAGTCTAGCATATTCTCATTTCGCCCCCACTTTCACCAATAATAATCCTCGGAGACCAACTTTTGTCTACCAACATATCTAGAAAATAATAAATTACAAATATCGTAACACAAGAATTACGAAAATACGAAAGAAAATATTACAATGACCAAACCAATTATCACAATTGAAGAAAAAGATCTTACAAAATAATATATTACAACAACACAAACCTAAAAGTAAAAAGAAAAATCAGAAAATCATATTTAAACTTTATAATTACTAAAAGAGAAATACTTATACAAAAAGAGCCATGTCACATAAAATAAAGGGTCTAAAATGAAATAATACAAAACTACGAGTACCATTTCACAATAAAACAGAATCCCGAGGGCACATAAAAAAATATTTTCTCCGACATAATTGTATTTAAATAGGGGGTGGCACCCCATAATATAATATTTAGCAGTAAAAAAAAAACTTTTAGAGCAACGCTATATTTCCTCTGTAAAACTCTCTCTCTACGGCCCCGCGTTTGGCTGTCTTTTGTGTACTAATAATCTAGCTGCCTTTTTCTCTCTCTCTCTCTCTCTCTCTCTCTCTTCTTTCTCTCTCTAAAACTACTATTAATTAAGAAAAAAGAAAAATGTATGCGCAAGGTAATGTCAGTAAAAAAGTTTTGTTAACGATAGCGAAGGAAATAGAAGACAGAAGAACAAGTACTGTAATGAAAACCAACGACGAAGAAAAACTCAAAGGAAAATTACATGAGACCCAGTACTGTACTTCTGATTCTGATTCTGATTTTTGTCCTGAAGACCCCACAACTTCTTCATCCCAGGTTTTTTTTTTTTTAATCTTTTAATTAGCTTTTATTATTTTATTTTAATTTATTTGTTGTCTGTGTGGGTTCTTTGACTAAAACATTTTATGATTTTTTTTTATTATAATTATTTTTTGGTGTTCAGGAAAGGAACAAGAGAAAGAGGAAGGAGAGGACTAAAATGCAATTTGAAAGCACAAGCATGGGTGTTTCTGCAAAGTCTGAAAGACTCAAATCTGACAAAGAAGTGAGAATTTATTTATTTATTATTTTTATTTATTTTTGTGATTTTTTTGGTGTTTGGATCCATTAGTGTTCTTGATTTTGTTATATGTGCAAGTTTGAATTGATGCATGTCAAGTTTTTGTGCTTAATTGTGTTTTACAAGTTGTTTTTTGTCAATAGATTTTCCATTAGAAGGCAATTTTTCATGTGGGTTTCTTTCGATTTTCGATAAGATCTAGATTTAACGCCGTTTCGTTTCGTTTTGTCGAGGGCGGCGGGTTTTTTTTATTAAAGAATCAATGTTTCCGTAATTCGGTATTTCTTGAAACCCTAAAAGCGTTATCGAAATTGAAAAAGATGCCGGAATTTTTTATTTGTAATTTATGATGCGGCATTGGTCGTTGATTTGATTAATTCGTGTTGAAACCCTAAAAGCGTTATTGAGATTGAAAAGATGCCGATTTTTTTTTTTGAATTTTAATTTATGATGCGGCGTTGGTCGTGGATTTGATTAATTCGTATTGAAACCCTAAAAGCGTTGTCAAGATTAAAAAGATGCTGTTTTTTTTAATTGTAATTTATGATGCGGCGTTGGTCGTGGATTTGCTTAATTCGTGTTAAAACCCTAAAAGCGTTTTCGAAATTGAAAAGATGTCGACTTTTTCAATTGTAATTTATGATGCGGCATTTGGTCGTGGATTTGATTAATTCGTATTGAAACCCTAAAAGCGTTTATCGTTGCCCTTTTTTTTAATTGTAGTTTATGATGCAGCATTGGTTGTGGATCTAATTAATTCGTATTTGTCAACGCATGGGGCATGATTTTCATTCGCATTCTTGCATTATTTGCGCAATGAATTTTCACTGAATTTTAGTGCAATTGACTGAAATAATCTAAAGATAATTTGCCGTAAAATAGAAATCAACATATTGCATAATGTTCATTTTCTTCCATTTTGTATCAAAATGAGTTTGGTTTGCACAGCTAGTGACCTCCTTAATCACACCCCACCCCCACCCCCCGCACACCACTCGCACCCCCTGTTTTTTACGCACACACACGAGTTCTCAAATTACGGAAAGATAGAGGGATACAATAAATTATATATATATACATATATATATTTTCAGGTTGTGTGTGCATTTTGTTTTGAAATCATGCACTTGTGATTA